TTCATGGTGATAGAGATAGTTTGCAGAGCTGGTACAAGTGACAGCTGGAAGAGCTTTCCTTCTTGTTGGTTTGTGGCCTTCCTCTCCTGGGAGAATAGCGACCTCTAGTGGCTTGTGCTTGGCAGCTGTGCACAGACAGGGCTTCAGCTACCTGCCCGGTTGGTTTGGAGTTTATCTCCGCTGTTGCTGTGGACTGGCTCAGGCTGCTGCTCCAAAATGGTGGAGCCCCGTTGGAGTGGGAGCGGCCGGGAGGCTATTTATCTCCGTAAGGGACTTCTGTGCTCCCTGCTGCCGAGGGGGTTAGAGTGCCCAGAGATCCCCAGATTCCCTGCCCCTTTAAGACTTCCAAAAAGCACTCTCCAAACCAAAACAACAACAGCAACAACAAAAGAAAAAGTAAATAAATAAATAATTAAAAAGAAAAGAAAAGAAAAGAAAAACGCATGATTTTCTTTGTTTTCAGGCACCATTCTCAGGCACCCACTCACTGGTCTTGCTTCCCTTTTTCCCTAGTATTAGGGTCCCTGTCCCTTTAAGACTTCCAAAAAGCACTCGCCAATAAACAAAAAAAAGTAGGAAAAAAAAAAAAGGCCACTCCCGTTTCTTTGTTCTCCGGTGTCGGCCTCAGGCACCCGGTCACCGGTCCTGCTGCCCTGTTTCCCTAGTATCCAGCACCCCACGCATGCACTGTTTCTGCGCTCTCGTCTGGATGGCTGGGGCTAGGTGTTCAGCAGTCCTGGGCTCCTTCTCCCTCCCTGCTGACTCCTCTCCACCCACCGGGAGCTGGGGGGTGGGGCACTCGGGTCCCGCCAGCTGGGGCTTGTATCTTACCCCCTTCATGAGGCGCTGGGTTCTTGCAGGTGTGGATGTGGTCTCGATGTTGTCCTGTGTCCTCTGGTCTCTATTCTAGCTAGAGTTGTCTTTTTTATATTTTCATAGATAAATGTGGTTTTGGGAGGAGATTTCTGCTGCTCTACTCACGCCACCATCTTGGCTCTGCCCCTTCTTCTATGATTTTTATAGTTTCAGATCTTATATTTAGGTTTTTGATCCATTTCAAGTTTATGTTTGCATAAGATGTAAGAGAGTAGTCCAGTTTCATTCTTTTGTATATAGTTGTCCAGTTTTCCCAACACCATTTATTGAAGTGACTGTCTTTTACCCATTCTATGGTCTTGTCTCAGTTGTCATATATTAATTAACCATATAAGTGTGGGTTCACTTCTGAGCTCTCTATTCTGTTCCATTGATCTATGTATCTTTTTCTGTACTAGTACCACACTGTTTTGAACTGTAGCTTTATAGTATAGTTTGAAATCAGGGAGCATTATACCTCCCTCCAGATTTGTTCTCCTTTCTTGAGAGTACTTTGGCTATTTGGGGTTTTTTGTGTTTCCATACAAGTATTACGATTGTTTACTCTAGTTCTGTGATAAATCCCATTGGTATTCTGATAAAGATTGCATTGAATCTGCATTGAGTAATATGGCCATCTTAATGATATTAATTCTTCCTATACATGAGCATGGAATATTTTTCCATTTAGTTGTGTCATCTTCAATTTATTTCCTCACTGTCTTACAGTTTTGAGACAGAGAACAGATCTCCCACCTCCTTTGTTAGATTTATTCCCAGGTAATTTGTTCTTTTTGATGCAGTGGTAAATGGGATTTTAAAAAGTTCTCTTTCTATAATTTTGTTATTTGTATATAGAAACACAACAGATTTCTCTATATTGGTTTTATGTCCTGGGACTTTGCTGAATTCATTTATTAGTTTTAATATTTTTTTGGTGGCATCTTTGGAGCTTTCTATTTCTATTGTGTCATCTGCAAACAGTGACAATTTTACTTCTTTCTTATCTATTTAGATGTCTTTTATTTCTTTTTCTTGGGAGGAAAATAATTTGAAATGATCAAATCAGAGGAACAAAATGAGAAAAGAATGAAGAAAAGTTCAGGGAGTCCAAGGGATTTATGGGCACTATCAAATGGGCCAATATACACATTAAAGGAGTCCAGGAAGAGTAAGAGGGAGAAAAAGAAAGAGAAACCTTATTTGAAATAATTGCTGAAAATTTCCCAAATCTGAGGAAGGAAATATGCATCTTAATTCAAGAAATTCAAAAGACTACAAATAGGATGAACACAAAGAGGCCCATACCAGATACATTAAAATCAAACTGTCAGAAGTCACAAAGAAAGAATGTTCAAAGTAGCAAGAGAAAGGTGACTCATCACTCACAAGGGAGGTCCCATGTAACTGTTAGGGAATTTCTCAAAAGAAACCTTACAGGCCAGAAGAAAGTGATGTGATGTTTTCAAGGTGTTGAAAGGAAAAAAAGGTGTCAACCAAGAATATGATATCCAGATAAACTGCCCAGAAGTGAAGGCAAATATATATGTTCCCAGATAAAAAGCCAAGAGAATCTATCACCACTAGAATTGCCTTGTAAGAAATGCTAAAGGGAGTCCTTCAAGTTGAAACAAAAGTATGCTAGACAACAATACAGACGCATACAACAAATAAACTCTCTGATGAAAGTAAGTAATACATAGACAAATACAGAATCCTGTAATACTATAATAATGGTGTATAAATCACTGTTAATCCAGGTATAGAATTTAAAGTATAAAAGCATTAAAAAATCCTGTAACTATAAACATATGTTAATGGGTACAAAATATAAAAAGATGTAATTTATGATAGTGATAACAAAGTGAGGGGATGTAAAGAAATAGTTTTGTATGTGATTGAAGTTATCAGTTTAAACCAGATTGTCATTACTATAAGATATTTTATGTAATCCCCATGATGATCACACAGAAAAATACCTATAAGAGATACACAAAAGAAATGAGAGAGGAATTATGCCCTACCACTACAAAAATGTCAGGAAAACACAAGGGAAGGCAGCAATAGGGGAAAAGAGAGTCAAATAACTGCAAGATTCTGAAAAGAGTTAACAAAATGACAATAGTAAGTCCTTCCCTATCAGTAAGTATTTTAAAGGTAAGTGGACTGAATCTCTGTGTGGATTGAATTATATCCCTCTCCCCAATTCATATGTTGGAATATTAACCCCCAATGTAACTCTATTTGGAGATATGGCTTTCAGGGAGGTAATTAAGATTAAGTGAGGTTGTAAGAGTAGGGCCTTAAGGATTGATGTCCTCATAAGAAGAGGAAGAAGTTTCTCTCTCCCCATGTGAGCCAAGAGGAAAGGGCATATGAAGACACAGAGCAAAGATGGTCATCTGCAAGCAGGAATAGAGTCCTCACTAGAAACCAAATTTGCTGGCACCTTGATCATTGACTTCTTAGCTCCAGAACTAAAAGAAAATAAATCTCTGTTGTTTAAGCTGCATGGTCTGTTGTATTTTGTTTTGACAATCTGAACAGACTAATACAGTCCTCAATCAAAAGATAAGGAGGAGTAGCAGAATGTATAAAAAAGGAAAAATAAGATCCAATGACATACTGTGTATAAAAGAGACTCATTTTAGATTTAAGGACATAGAGGCCAAAAGACTGAAAAAGATATTCCATGCAAGTTGCAACCAAGAGAGCAGGGGTAGCAACACTTATATCAGACAAAATAGACATTAAGTCAGAAACAGCCACAAGAGACAAATAAAGATATTATACAATGATAAAAGGGTAACCAGGAACATAAAACAGTTATATATGCATCTAAGAGCAGAGCACTCAAATATACAAAGCAAACACTGACAGAATTGAGAGGAGAAATAGACAATAGCAGTATAATAGTAGGAGACTTCAATAGCCCACTTTCAATAATAGATAGAACAGACAGATATGAGATCACTAAAGAAACAGGACTTGAACAACACTAAAGACCAGCTAGACATAACAGACACATACAGAACACTCCATCCAATAAGAGCAGAATACATCTTCTCCTTAAGCATGCATGGAGTATTTTCCGGGATAGATCACATTTTAAGCCACAATAAGTCTTAACAAGTTTGAAAAGGTTGAAATCTGACTTAAGAATTTTTTCCAGCATAATGGAATGAGACTAGAAATCAATAACAGGAGGAAAACTGAAAAATATAAGAAATTAAACACAATCTCAAACAACCAGTGGGTCAAAAAAGAAATTACAAAGGAAATTAGAATATGATCTTGAGACAAATGAAAACAAAAATAAAACATACCAAAACTTATGGTATGCAACAAAAGCAGTAGTATGAAGGAAGTTTATAGCAATAAACTACTACAATAAAAAAGAAGAAATATCTCAAATCAATGACCTGACTACACCTCAAGGAAGTAGAAAAAGAAAAACAAATGGAACCCGAAGTTAGCAGCAGGGAAGAAAATAAAAATTAGAACAAGAATAAAGAAATATAGAATATAAAATAAAATAAAAGTAAGAGATGCCTTTTTTGAAAGCACTAAGAAAATTGACAAACCTTTAGCTAGGCTAAGAAAAAAAGAGGTAAGACTCAAATAATGAAAACCAGAAATGAAGGAGGAGACAGTAAAACCTATGCCACAGGAATAAAAGGAATCATAAAAGACTACCATGAGCAACTGCATACCGACAAACTGGATAACCTAGAAAACTACATTCCTAGAAACATATTACCTATCAAGACTGAATCATTAAAAAATAAAAAATCTGAACAGACCTATAACTGGTAATGAGGTTGAATTGGTAATCAAAAACCTCCAAGCAAAGAAGAACTCAGGACCAGACAGGTTCCCTGGAGAATTTTAACAAACATTTCAAAAAGAATTAACACAAAACCTCCTCAAAGTCTTCTAAAAAGTTGAAGAGAGGGGAATACTTCCAAGTTCATTTTAGGGGTCAGCATTACTCTGATATGAAAATCGAAGATAGCATTGGAAAACTATAGACCATTACCCACAATGAATATTGATGCAAAAATTCTCAACAAAATACTAGCAAACTGAATTCAACAACACAATGCAATGAATCAATAACCCTGTTTTTTTTTTTTTTGACAAAGGATGTGTCCTGATGGTCTCTGGCTGGAGGAAATTGAAGGTGTTGCCAAGTGTAAGTAAAAGTAAGTACCTGGCAAGTGTTGTCTGGTATCTGCGGAGGAACTCACAGTCCAGATGCCCCCCTGTAATGACAGTGTTTTTCATTGAAACCCACCTCCTCCTTAAAGTCTTCCTGGATTTACCCAGTTGGAAACAGTCTCTCCCTGCCCTCCCATAGCACTTATAGTGAACCCAATTATCAGACAAGTTTCATTCTCCCTGAAGTATATTTTGGGAGACATCAGAGCCTAATGGATAAGAACATCAGTATCAGAGTCACAGGGTTTGGGGTTGGAATCCCAGAACTTCCTTCATGAGCTGTGTGACCTTGGGCAAGGCACTACATCTGTAAAACCTCAATTGCTTCTGTTATTAAGTGAAGAAAATGATAGTACCTAACTTGTTTGTGTTGTGAGGGTTAATGAGATAATATGCACAAGGCATTTAATTTACTCCCTGGCACACAGTAAATATTAAATGCATCGAAGCTGCTATTATTATGTTTTCTTACACAAAATTCTTTGTCCCTGAAGAATTAAGGGGTTAAGGGGTCTGGGGTTATGAACTGTATTCAGGGCCTCTCCAGGTTGGTCTAAGGTTGTGGGAGCTCTCACCAACCGGTCCCTCCTCACTTTGGACAACCTTTATTTGCCCTACACTCCGGTAGTAAAGGTGTTTCCCACAGCTCCTCCCTGATACAAAGCCTGGCTGACCAGGATTCTCCATGGGGTAATAACAAGGCCAAATATAAGTAAAAGTATCTGGCCTCGTTTAACCCTTCCTTAACTTCTTTTCTTTCTCCCCAGGTTTCCTTGTGAGACTTTCAATTCCTTAAATGTTTCTTTACCTCTTTTTTCTTTTCTCTTTCTCTTTTCCCCCCACAAATTATTGCCCATAGGAATGATCCCTGGTTGTTATGCACTAGAACTTAAACTAACACTGACACTAAAAAGGCCAAAGGTGAATTTGCATTTCCTAGAATGTTATATCAAATGTCGTAATTGGGAGAGATAGCTGTGCTATTTACAAAGCTGAGTGAACAAAGCCCTCAGAAGTGGTTCAAGCAAAGTGCCATAGAAGCTCAGAGGAAGGAGAGTGGGGTGTGAGGATTCATGGAGGCTCCATAGAGAAGGCAGTCATTGGACAAATGGTGGATGAACAAAAAAGTCCAGAAAGAGAACACAGGGGGCCCCTTCAGAGGGCTCTTGGAATAGTCAAGAAGTATTGAGAGACGGAATTAGGAAGTGAGAGCAGGTGGGAAGAGAAAGGAGGAGATCGGTAAGAGACTCAAGCCACAGAATCCACAGATTGTATCAAGTAGCATGCTAAAGGGGACAGAGCTCTGATCGAGCTCTGGCATCCAATGCTAGTAGATATATACCACTCACAAGCAGGGTGCCTTTGGGCATGTCATTTCCCCTTTTGTGCCTCAGTTTTCTCATCAGCAAAATGGGGACAATATCTGCTTTATTAAATTGCTGTGAAAATTAGATTTGATGAAATGCCATTCTGTTTCCTTATCTTTTGATGCAGTATAAAAACTTTATTGGTATTATTAGAAAAATGGAGTTGTCCATGAGTGCATGGAGTCCATGACTGCAGCAGTTGCGATAACTTCCATCTTCATAGGATCACTCTGGAAAGCTCGTATTCAATGGTAGGGGCAGTCCTGTCCCTGTGGAAGCCCTTCCTGGGGCATCTTCACCCTGGGGCTGTGGAGGAAGTTAAAGGGCTTGGGACAGACTCCTGCATCGGGCCTTAGCCAGAGTGACGCCCGATGGTTGGTTAATGAGGGTTTCAGCCTGCATACACTTATGTCTGTGGAAATGAAATGAGAGGGCATTTCTGCCAGTGAAGTCTTGTGAGAGAGTGACCCAGCCAGCCCGCTGCCTCAAATTCTCTAACTCTGGAAGGGAAACGTTCTCACAGGATAGTTTTCGAAATGCCTCTATAGCTATTTAATAATAAGGAAGCATGTGCCTACCTTACTCTGTGTTGCTTTGGTGGCATGACGAGTTGGGACTTGGGGAAAACATCGAGCAGCACACCTGTTTCATCTGTGTGACGATCTCTGCTCTCCAGAGAATATGATCACTGTGTGTGAAGAGAAGGAATATGGAAGCCATCGTTCGTAACTGCTTGTTGTTTTCTTTCCCCAAATCAGGTTTAGCACATCAACCTAGTAAAACATATGCTGAAAGTCATTAGTGTTGGTTTTTAAAATGGACTAGCATAAAGTTTGTTTTAAATTGTGATGAGCAGGGCTTTCCAGCTCTTTCAAAATATTGTGAACTATATCATGCATACAAATAATAATAATAATAATAATTAATAAAAAGAACTCACCACCCATCTTATGAAATAGAATCTCACCAATAACTTGGAAGTCCCCGCCCCGGTGGGCCCCGTCCCTCCATCCTCACTGCAGTGGTAACTTTACTCCTACATTTTGTATCAATCATTCCTTTGCTCTTCCTTTTCATTTTTGTGCTTATACGTATACCCCTGACCAGTGTATTGCTTAGTTTTGTATGGTTTTGAACCTTAAATGAAATCCTACTTTAGAGACTTTTCTGTTACTTGCTTCTTTTACTCACTTTATCGTTTTTGAGATTTTCCGTGTTGATGCATCTAACTGTTGTTTGTTTTTAATCTATGTGATTGTCCCCTTCCCCAGAGTTCTGATATACATAGCCTATGAATCAATGGACAGCAGCCCAAGCTATAATGTAACAATTGCATAAATAAACCACAATTCACTTACCCTTTCTACCACTGGCCAATAATGGGACTGTTATCTACTTCTTGGCTGTTTGGTGCACTGCTACGATGAACATTTTGGATGTGTCTCATGGTACGAGTTTTTCTAGGGCACATAATTAAGAGTAAAATTCTGGGACCATAGAATATGTCCATGTTCCCCTTTACCAGGTAATGTCAAGATAGTTTCCAAAGTGGTTGTGTCAGCTTAGGTCTGCCAGGAAGCAGAATTACCAAGATGGAATTAGATGTGCAAGGGATGTATTGAGGGCATACCTGTGAAGGATAAAGGGGAGAGAGAGCAACTGTAAGCAGAGGGAGCCTTCACCTTAAAGCAGGTCTGGCCCCTGTGAAAGGAGAGGGCGGAGGAAGTTGAACTGCGCAAGAAGTTTTAGCCTGCAGTACAACTTCTGAGAAAGCCTCAACCGGGCTGTGAGGTGTTCCTGTGCCAAATTTGCCTGTGGGAGGAGTCCTGCATCCTACAGGGATGGTCCACCCCTAGTGTGCCTGCAGTGCTCAGTCATTGGCTTGAAGCTACTGGGGGTGGGGAGGGGGGGTGGCTTTGGGGCAAACATGGAGGTAGATCCAGAAGGCTGGCAGCCAGCCAGGCTCTTTGCAGGAAGTTCTCTTGAACGAAAGTAAGGAGCACACTTCTTTGGCTGCCACAGTGGTTACACTAGTTTCCACTCCTACCAGCAGCAGATGAGAATTCCTAGTTCTCTATATCCATACTGACACTTAGAATTGTCAGACTTCCTAATATATGACACTGTTTTGTGTGTGAAATGATATGTCCCTATGTTTTCAATTTGCATTTCCCTGATTACTAATGAGGATGAGCATCTACCCACAAATGTATGGGCTGTTTATGTTTCACCTTCTGGGAAATGCCTATTCTGTTCTTTCTGTCCTTGTTTTTTTGTTTTTACCTATGTGGTTATGTGTGGTTTCTTTTCTGATTTTTTAAAATGGTCTTTTATAGGGTTTGGATACTGATTACTTGTAGGTAATATGTATTACAAAAATCTTTACCCAGCTTGTGGCTTGTTTTTCTATCCCCTTTATTGTGTCTTTTGATGAGCCAAAGTTCTTAATTTTTATGTATTTATTAGTTACTTCCTTTATAATTTGTGCCTTTGTAACTTGTTTTAAAATCCCCACTCTGAAGTTATAAAGATATCTACCAACATTGTTTTCTAAAAGTTTGAATAGTTTTAATTTATGTTCAAGTCTTTACTTGGAATTGATTTTTTTTAGTATGCTGTCAGATAGGGCTCCAACTTTATATTTTTTAAAATTTGAATAACCAGCTATCTCAGTCCTATTTATAGAATGGCATTTGTCCCAATGGTTTGCAATGGCAATTCTGTCATATATTATTTCCATATATGTGCGCATATGTTTCTGGGATCTCTTCTCTGATCCACCGATATATTTGTTTATCCCAGTGCCAATCCTGCACTGTCATTTATACGGTTGCTTAAAAATACATCTTGATATCAAGTAGGATGAGTCTCTATACCTCATTCTTTTTCAAGAGTGAATTAACTATTTTGATATATTTCTTGTTCTCATATAAAATTTAGAATCAGTTTAACTTACCCTGGGGAAAAAAATAGAAATTTTTATTGGAATCTCTTTGAATCTATAGATTGATTTAAGATAATTATATCTTTACAGTATTAAATTTTTCCATCAAAATACCATCCATTTCTCCATTTATTTAGTTTGCTTTAATGCCCTTAGATAAAGTTTTAGAAATTTCTCCACAAAGTGCTTACACATCTTTTTTTGTCAGAGCAGTATTTTTAAGTATTATAGATTTAGGAACTTTTTGCATTCTTAAAAATTATTGAAGACCCCAAAGAGTTTTTGTTAAATGGTTTATAACTATCAGTATTTAAAACTTAAATATTCAAAGTTAAAACTGATTCAATTTTAAGATGTTTATTTTACAATAGCAATAGCAAATTATTTGTTATAATGAAAACATTATCTTATGAAAAATAATGTATTTTCCAAAACAAAACACAGTTAGTCAGAATTGCATCCTTTTTTATTTATTAAGGTATCACTGATATACAGTCTTATGCTCAGATTTCACATGAGCAACATTGTGGTTACTACATTCCCCCTATTATCAAATCCCCACCATATACCCCATTACAGTCATTCTCTTACATGTAGCTGTCCAGTTTTTGCCAACACCAGTTCAAGAGGCTGTCATTTCCCCATTGTATGTCCATGGATCCTTTATCATATATTAATTGGCCATATATGTTTGGATTTATACCTGGGCTCTCTATTCTGTTCCACCGACTTATGGTTCTGTTCTTGTGCCAGTACCAAATTGTCTTGATTACTGTGGTTTGTAGTAGAACTTGAAGTTGGGGAGTGAGATCCCCCCTCCTTTATTCTTCCTTTTCAGGATTGCTTTGGCTATGTGGGGTCTTTTGTGGTTCCATATGAATTTGAGAGCTATTTGTTCCACTTTGTTGAAGAATGCTGTTGGTATTTTGATAGGGATTGCATTGAATCTGTAGATTGCTTTAGCAGGATGGCCATTTTGACAATATTAATTCTTCCTACCCAAGAGCATGGGATGAATTTCCATTTATTAGTGTCCTCTTTAATTTCTCTTAAGAGTGTCTTGTAGTTTTCAGGGTATAGGTCTTTCATTTCTTTGGTTAGGATTATTCCTAGGTATTTTATTCTTTTTGATACAGTTGTGAATGCAATTGTTTTCCTGATTTCTCTTTCTGCTAGTTCATCGTTGGTGTATAGGAATGCAACAGATTTCTGTGTATTGGTTTTGTATCCTGCAACATTTCTGAATTTAGTTATTCTAATATTTTTAGGGTGGATTCTTTAGGGTTTTTATGTACAATATCATTGTCATCTGCAAACAGTGACAATCTAACTTCTTCCTTACCAATCTGGATGCCTTTTATTTCTTTGTGTTGTCTGATTGCCATGGCTAGGACCTCCAGTACTATGTTGAATAAAAGTGGGGAGAGTGGGCATCCTTGTCTTGTTCCTTATCTTAGAGGAAAAGCTTTGAGCTTTTCACTGTTAAGTATGATGTTTGCTGTGGGTTTGTAATATATGGCCTTTATTATGTTGAGGTACTTGCCCTCTATACCCATTTTGCTGAGAGTTTTTATCATGAATAGATGTTGAATTTTGTCGAATGCTTTTTCAGCATCTATGGAGATGATTGTGTGATTTTTGTCCTTTTTATTGATATAGTTGATGATGTTGATGGATTTTCAAATGTTGTACCATCCTTGCAACCCTGGGATGAATCCCACTTGATCATGATGCATGATCCTCTTGATGTATTTTTTAATTCAGTTTGCTAATATTTTTTTGAGTATTTTTGCATCTATGTTCTTCAGGGTTATTGGTCTGTAGTTTTCTTTTTTTGTGGTGTCTTTGCCTGGTTTTGGTGTTATAGTGATGCTGACTTCACAGAATGAGTTTGGAAGTATTCCCTCCTCTTCTATGTTTTGGAAAACTTTAAGGAGAATGGTTATTATGCCTTCTCTAAATGTCTGATAAAATTCAGTGGTGAAACCTTCTGGTCCGGCACTTTTGTTCTTGGGTAGTTTTTTGATTACCAGTTAAATTTCATTGCCGGTAATAGGTATGTTCAGATTTTCTGTTTTTTCCTGGGTCAAGGTTGTATTTTTCTAGAAAGTGGTCCATTTCTTCTGGTTATCCAGTTCATTAGCATATAATTTTTCCTAGTATTCTCTAATAATTCTTTGTATTTCTGTGGTGTCCATAGTGATTTTTCCTCTCTCATTTTTGATTCTGTTTATGTGTGTAGTTTCTCCTTTTTTGTTGATAAGTCTGGCTAGGGATTTATCTATTTTGTTTATTTTCTCACAGAACCAGCTCTTGGTTTCATTAATTCTTTCTCAATTTTATTATTCTCAATTTTATTTATGTCTTCTCTGATCTTTATTATGTCCCTCCTTCTACTGACTTCGGGTTCCATTTGTTCTTCGTTTTCCAGTTTCAGTAATTGTAAATTTAGACTATTCATTTGTGATTGTTCTTCCTTCTTTAAATAGGCCTGGATTGCTATGTAGTTTCCTCTTAGAACTGCCTTTGCTGCGTCCCACAGAAGTTGGGGTATTAGCCTGTTGTTTTCATTTGTCTCCATATATTGCTTGATCTGTTTTCATTTGGTCGTTGATCCATTAATTATTTAGGAGCATGTTGTTTAGTCTACATGTGTTTGTGAGCCTTTTTGTTTTCTTTGTACAATTTATTTCTAGCTTCATACCTTTGTGATCTGAGAAGTTGGTTGGTACAATTTCATTCTTCTTGAATTTGCTGAGGCTCTTTTTTTGGCCTTGCATGTGATCTATTATGGAAAATGTTCCATGTGTACTTGAGAAGAATGTGTATCCTGCTGCTTTCGGGTGGAGTGTTCTAGAGGTATCTTTTAGGTCCATCTGTCCTGATGTGTTGTTCAGTGCCTCTGTGTCCTTACTTATTTTCTGTCTGGTTGATCTGTCCTCTGGAAGAGGTGGTGTGTTGAAGTCTCCCAAAATATTCATTCTATTTCCCCCCTTAGTTTTATTAGTATTTGTTTCACATATGTAGATGTTCCTGTGTTGGTTCCATAGATATTTATAATGCTTATATCCTCTTGTTGGACTGACCCCTTTATCATTATATTATATCCTACCTTGTCTCTTGTTGTTACTTTCTTTGTTTTGAAGTCTATTTTTTCTGATACAAGTACTGCAACATCTGCTTTTTTCTCCCTATTGCTTGCATGAAATGTCTTTTTCCATCCCTTCACTTTTAGTCTGTGTTTGTCTTTGGGTTTGGAGTGAGTCTCTTGTAGGCAGCATATAGATGGGTCTGGCTTTTTTATCCATTTTGTAACTGTGTCTTTTGATTGGTGCATTCAGTCCATTTGTAGTTTGGGTGATTATTGATAAATATGTACTTATTGCCATTGCAGGCTTTGGAAAGAATTGCATTGTTTTAAGTTCTTTACAAATCTCTTTAATGTTTGGTTTAATAAAATAGTTGGCTTCTCATAACTGCTTTTGCATTCAGTCTGTTATATTGTATTGTTTTGGCTTAAGTATCTTGAGGAAATCTGACCTCACACAGATACATAGTTGGACATATATTCTAAGAACATTTTTATATAATTCTGGGCATTCTTCTTTGGTATTCCACCAAACTAAACAAGTGGTAGTTTCTTAAAATTTAAAATGTTGATACTGAAGCCATATCAATGAATCATTCATACACAATTACATTAAAATCCATTGATCTCACTTACACTTTGAATGGATCTTTTACCCATGAATATGTTTGTGACATTAGGCTTAGAAATGTTTTTTTTAAAATACTGGCTCACTGAATTATGCAGATCTTCCAAATATTGACACATTTCATTATGTAATATCAGAAATTCACCTTCATTAACATCACTTCCCAACTCATTAGAAAAATCCTTATGTACTTGAAAGCTGTCAAATTCAAAGCAACAGATTCAAGTTTTTCAAACTTGTAATTCCACTTTAAAGTCTAATTTTATCATGGGAAACAAATACCATCAGTTTTTTTTCTTGAATTGATCGGCTTGCTTTGTTCATTTTCAAGGACATGTCTCCTGAATACCCAAATGTGAATGAATAACTGTAGTTTACCTCCCATCCATTCTTTCAAGTAAAAGTGTTGCTCCATGAGACAAGCAAGTAGTTCAGCCTACAACTCAAAGATGAGATGTTCATCAGACTTTGGTTTGCAGAAGAAGTGCTCTTAATGTGTACTCATTTTGTCACAGAATATTAAAGAGGCAGAGGTCAAGATTTAATACAATTAATAATTTTTTAAGGATTCACCAAGGACTTTTTCTGTGAAATTTGTTTTGTTTTACTGCAAGTATGTGATGGTGAAGAATACAATGGCTGCTGGCACAGTTTTGTGGTACTGTCTTGATTTGTTAAAAGCATACTAAAAAATTGCTATAAAAAGGAGTACTTCAAAGATATGATTTCAGATGAAGACATCCTCATGAATTTGTCAACGGAATGGTTTTTAGTCAGAAAACAGGATGTGGAACAAATTTGAACTGTTCATTAAGTTTAAATGAACCCCAAACATTTTACTTGGCATGCATGTAGCAAGTAAGAGGGATGAAGAGGTAACTTCTGCTATCCTTTGTTCTGTTGTGCATGGGAGCTATTCCACTATGAAAAGATAAATTGAGGAATATTAACTATTTTAAGAATTTGAGCCAAAATCTGTTTGAATTGGGCACCAACCACTTTAGCTGATAGAAAGGAGCTCTACAAAATGAAATATTTTTTTAATAGGTAAAAGAGGGTGAGAGTAAGGAAGTAGTAGTAGGTGAGAAAGTGGGTGGGTCATTGCAAGGTTACTTTCCTGTAGGGGATGGCAGGCTCTGTCACACAGATTACCTCCCTAGTACTGATTGGGCATTTCCTGATTGGTTGAGGATTCCATTTTTGGGAGAGCCAAAACTGTAATTAAGTTTCACTTTGGTGATGGGGAACTTAGCATGAGTGACTCCATTTTGCACCTCCTGTTTTTAACACCATCTATGTCAACATCATCTGCCATTTTGCCTTTATTTTCCTCTAAAGGTGGTTTTCTGTTTTGTAACTTAATTTTTAGGTGCAGTGTCAGTACAAGATGAGCTGGAGCCCTCCCCTGCCCCAAATATTGAAAAATAGATCAAGAAAACAATGTACAAAGAAAAAAAGAGTGAGTATAATATACCTTTAATAGTTTACATTTTATGTTCAAACTACATTTATTTTCACATTGTTGCTTATTACTTATATGTATTTGGTTTGATTGTTCAACTATTTAATTTCATTATTCAGTATAAGTGATAATTGTTTGGGTATCTTGGTTTGGGATGGATGCATAATAATTTTTCTCATTAAAATTAATGGAAAAGTTTTCATTGAGCAGCTTTTTGCCTAGTAGTAGGCTTTTCAGGAAAAAATGAAAGTCAGTAAGTTAGGGATAAATGTGTGTTACCTGGTATTTTAGTTATATTTATCAGGAGTGTTGTCGAGGCATACTACTGCTGGAAACTGAAGTTACCTAACTTTTCTTTGAACAAAAGTAATCAACTGGTATGTCAGTGTTGAGTACATGCATGCCTTGGAGATATTGCAGGTCTGGTTCCAGACCATGGCAATAAAGAAAATATCACAATAAAGTGAGTCAAGTGAATTTTTTGGTTTCCCAGTGCCTAAATTATGTTTTCACTCCACTCTATGCTATATTGTTATGTCAAAAAAAATACAATGTACATACCTTAATTAAAAAATCCTTTATTATTGCTAAAAAATATTAATCATCATCTGAGCTTCTAGCAAGCTGTAATCACTAATTGCAGATTACCATAACAAATATAATAACAATGCAAAGTTTGAAATATTGTTGAGAATTGCCAAATGTGGCACAGAGACAGGAAGTGAGCAAATGCTGTTGGAAAAATGGTACCCGTACACTTGCTTGACACAGGGTTACCACAGGCCTTCAATTCATAAACAATTCAGAATCTGCAAAGCACAATAAAGTGAAGTGTCATAAAACGAGGTGTGCCTGTATTCTTCTCACCATGAAACCTCATTCTCATTTGATAATCAATTCACACTGACATGTACATGCGTCTTTATTGATTTATATCCTTACATTTTCTAAGAAGGTTTGCAGCAGCTTAACAATGAGTTACTCTATTCAAAGCTCCTAGAATATTTTCTGGAAAACAGTAAGAACTCAATAAATGTTTGTGGTTATTGTCCTTATATAAAAGATACACATTGAAATGATTAGGATAAAACTAGAAAGTCAGATATAGGCAAATGAGAAGGGAAAATAAACTAACATTGAGGGCTAAGAGTTATAGCGATTGAGCATTAAACTTTGCTCTGAGTTTCCAGGCAACCAGAGAAAGCATGCTGCAGTTATTTTCTGATAGAAGGATGCCTCCCAATTCTTCAAGGAAATCACACTTTTTCTTAGTACTGTGGTTTTTTTTCCTGGGGAACACTGAAAAGCATAATGGATAATACCTGACATGATGGTTTTGCAGTAAAAGTAGCAGCTAATCAATGCATTCATGTTTCTATCCATTCATTTAGTAAATATTTTGGCATTTTCCTTGTGTACTATCCTTGGTAAAGGCCAAGACCATAACAATAAAGCAGACCCCAATGAAGGTGTTCCTACAGCAAGGTAAACAAATGAGGCCAAACATAGAGCTTTCCAGAAATCTAAATTAATAAAGGCTAGAGTTTGCTATACCTAAAGGCATGTGTGAATAGCATGTCTCATATACTACCTTCTTTAATTTTCAGACCTCTCTGCTAGAGTTTTACTAGATTTATGGCTCACAGTTCAGGATTGTGGCTCTCTCTTAATATCTATGACATTCTGTTCAGTTGATTAAGGTCAGATTGATGTAATTTGGCTAACAGACAAGTTGGTGATGCTATTAAAGTTGACTTTACCGGCTAATATTTTTACCTAGATAAAAGTTCACCCTGTAGCCAGAATTTCTCTCACAGTGCAGCTCTACATCACTTTAAATATGAATTTTTATTTCACAGACATTCAGTGTTTACTATGTACCTGGCACTACTTTAAGTGCTTTACATATTTTAACTTGTTTCACCTTCATACAGTGGGGGAAATACTATAACCCCCACCCATTTCACAGATGAGGAAATGAATGCACAGATGCCTTGAATAACCTACCTTACTTAAGGTAACACAGCTAGTAAGCAGCAGAATCAAGAACTGAAATCTAGCTTTGGAAAAAGGTCCCTGCTTATCCATGACGGCTCTTGGACAGGTGCTTCATTGACATCCTGGAGCTCTACAACCTCCAGCACAGCAGAAATTACCGTGGCCTGCAGGAATTTCCAAGGGGGTGCTAGTGCCTTCAGCCATAGAAAACACTCATTCAGGCTCCGTGAGAGGTCTGACTCTGGGTGAAGCTGCCAAGATGAGTTGGTTGCCAAATACACCAGAGCAACTGACAAAGTTGGCCTACTAAGTGATGCTAGTTATATTTTGGTGACTGTTTACAAGATCCACAAAGACTATTTTAGTTTTGGCCAGGGCCACTTACCTTCTGAAGGTCTCTCAAGTTAAGAAGAGGGTCTAAGATACAGCCCTATATTTTATCTCTGGAAATTATGATCTCTTATGTCAGCAGACCATTTCTGCCTGCTCTGATTCTTCTAGTGATGTAACACACACATTTTGCAGAGGCATTTAGAGTTGGGAATCTATGTTAAGCTCATGTAGTTTACTGATAGTGTCTGTGTAATGGAAGGCAGTAAATAAATAATAAGGCCAACATTTTTACTTGTGCTCTGGATCCCACATACAATGGGAGTGCTCTTGACTCCTCAAACGCAGTACGGCAATGACAGTCCTCTCTTTTTTATATATTCGTCCTTTCATCCCTCTTCCTGGATATCATCCATCAATATTTAACCATGCTGAAATTCCTTATTTCTTTTAAAATATTCTCCTTGTTCTTTATGTCTTCCCCCAACCCAGTCCCACCTGATCTCATCTGCCTTTACTACTCATAGACATGATTTTTGTCAAAGGTCACCAGTTATCTTGAATACGAGGACCAAAGGTAGCCATAGGGATTAGCTTCAGGTATATGTGAAGCTCAAGTTGAGTGGTCTTGGTTGTCATGAAGTTCACTTAAATTCAGATTTTACCTTTCCAAGTTGTCCCTCCTTTTGTGCATGCATGTGAGAGACGTACCCAAGGTAAGGGAAAGAACCAGCAGAAAAGCAATAGAGAGAGCTATTCTTGGAGTCCACACAGGGCCCCAAGTAGTGCCTGGTCCTGAGCCAGAGTGGAAAATTTCATAATTCATGGGATTTTGGGTAGAATGCAGAAAGTGTTTGCTTGAGCCTTAGGGAAAAATTAACCCTAAATTAAATGCTGCTCTGGTCTCACTGAACAAAGCTAGAAAGTGGCATCTGAAAAGATCAAACTGTTTCCAGGTAATGTAACAGTATCAACATATAAACCTCAAGAATATTTATAGGAATGCAAAAATATCCAGCATCCAGCACGTTAAAATATATATCTGGCGTCCAGTAAGAAATTACCAGGCATGCAAAGAAGCAAGGAATACAACACATAATGAGAAGAAAAATGTACTTTTTCTCCCATTCTTAGGTTGCTTTTTCACTCTGTTGATTGTTTCCTTTCTTGTATAGAGGTTTTAAATTGATGGAGTCCCACTTGTCTATTTTTGCTTTTGTTACTTGTAGTTGTGATGTCATATCCATGAATTCATTGTCAAGATCAATGCCATGAAGAACCCCACTATGTTTTTCTCTAGGAGTTTTACAGTTTTGGGTCTTACCTTTAGGTCTTTCATCCTTTTTGAGTTGATTTTTGTATGATGTAACATAAGGGTCCACTTTCATTCTTTTGCAGATAATAATGTTCTGAGAAGTCAACTGTCATCCTTAGTCAAAAACCCATGAGTTGCCTGTTTTTCTGATTTTATCAGTGGGCTTATACAGCATGTACTCTCTTAGGTCTGCCTTCTTTTACTATTGATATTTATGAGATCCATCAATGTGGTTGCGTGAGGTTAGAATTTGTTCATTTTCATTGTTGTATAATATTCCTCGGTGTGAGTACACTATAATTTGTCCATTCTATAGATAATGGGCATTTGAGTAATTTCAGCTTGAGTTTATTGCAAATGGTGCTGTTATGAATATTCTACTACTAGTCTTTTGAGGAACATTGCCATTATACATATACCCAGTTATTGAATTGGTGTGTCGTAGGGTATGTGTATGGTTAACTTTAGTAGATAATGCCAAAGAATTTTCCAGACTGGTTTTACAAGTTAACACTCCCACCAAAAGAGTTTGAGAATTCTGGTTGCTTTACATCGTTACTGACACTTGGTATTCCGTCTTTATCATTTTAACCATTTGGGTAGGTGTGTGTGTAATCTTGTTGTGATATGATTTGTGTTTGTCTTATGATTAATGAAATTAAGAACATTTTGATTTTTTATTGGTCATTTGCATATCTTTTTTGTTAAGTGTCTGTTCATATTGCTACCTAATTATTGATTGTCTTTTTTGATGATTTATACAGTGTTTAACCTTTAAAAATATGTATATTTTTTCAGTATGAACCTTTGGCTGGTACATGTATTGTGAATATCTTCTTCCATTTTGTGGTGTCTTTTTAACTCTCTTAGTAATGTCTTCTGACAAACAGAAGTTTTTAGTTTAATGTGATCCAGTTTATCAAAATTTCTTTCTTTTATGGTTAGTGCCTTTCAGATCTTAAGAATTTCTTCCCTAGGTCAAGGTCAAAAGCTTTTCATCTGAAAGCTTTATTTTTTGTTACTTTTTACATTTAGATCTGCAATCTATGATTGCCTGTAAACCTGTACCATTTTAATTTTAATCACATACCCATTTTTTTCTGAAAGGCAAGTGATGATGCTGTTACTTCTCACAAAGTTCAGTGCTGAGCATCCACTTAGTTATCTCATATACAACGTTATTAAAGGAGAGCCTGATTGTCTAGCGGTTGCAGTTATTATCTCTCTGCAGCTACTGAAAACTCACACAATTGCAAACCAGATCAACAAAACAAGACACTCAGCTTTCCAAAAGTCTCACCATCTACAACCTGCAAAAAGCAAAATTCCAAAACCAGGTTGTTAAAGCACTCTT